ATTCCGTTAAAATGTAATTTCCATCAGTTTTAGCACAGAATATTGTCACAATACTGTGCCTAGGTTGAAATGGTGTTTTTAATCGAGTCTCTTTTTGTGTGACATTTCCAATCAAGCTGTAATTTTGTCAAATTACACGCAAATAGCATGAAAATAGCTATTATATAACTATTTGTGGTACATAAATTGTCAACTATGAAATTTGCTTTAGCAACACAATGAGGTCGACCATTTTATTCCGTTAAAATGTAATTTCCATCAGTTTTAGCACAGAATATTGTCACAATACTGTGCCTAGGTTGAAATGTGGTGGATATGTTCATGACTTTCAGAAATAAATGACTAAAATGAATGACAGAATCTTCCTGCGATGCATGTATAGACACTGTTACCTTGTAATTAGACAAATAATTAAACCAATGACCAATAAACCAGTGGCAAAAGAGCTCATAGTTGAAGAAATATCCATCCCATAAAAAGCCTTTGATGGGTAAGAGTCTCTTGTCAAGTGCCAAACACCAACATTTAATAATATTTTTAATAATATTCTTAACAGACAGATGATCTCATATTTACCTTAAATTAGCAATAAATTGCATTTAATCAGCAATGCTTATAAGTGATGCCATCCATTTCAATAACCTGCTTTGTGCTGGCACCAGGAAATTATCCAGAGATGTTGAAGATCTTCTGGATGAAAGCTGAAGGTAGTGAAAAGAGCAGGAGGCCCAAAAAGATCAGTCCGGTTATGCTGAGCACAGTCACCACTGTTGCCAATTTATACTGCCGCCAACACATTATGCAGGTCACCCGTATGGGACTCAAAAACCACGACAGGCTGGTAGTCGGACGACTGTGTGAAAGAGAACAGGGTTATACTGTAAACTCTCTCACACACATGCATACCCACAGTATGGAAACAAACATGTTCAGTGTTTTATTTCAATGAGTTCATTTTATTAAGTCTTCATACTGACAAAAATAAATAAATCAATCCATATTGCACACTTGTAAACAAGAATTAAAAATACACTCTTTTTATATAAACAAGCTAAAATCAGTGCAAACAGGTCCATGGTCAAATTTACCATTCATTAAATAGAGAAACATTAAATAGCAAGCACACAAGTACATACCAAGTAAATGTACACCGCAAGTAAAACAACAGTAGGAAATATAAGAAATAGCATTCTATTGCGTTGCTAAAGCTTGAAATGTCAAATGAAACATCATTCCCCTACTAGTGTCTGTGTTTCTCTAAAGGATAAACTACATTATGTTACTGGAGTGCAGAAGATTTGTGTCATGGACTGAAAGTGCAAACATCAAGGCAAAGTGTAATCAAATTACATACTGTATATATGAGGCCTGCAACCCTATCATAATATTTTTCAGATTGTAGCTACTGATGAACAAGTCATCTTTCTTTAGACAACCTTGCATGCTTATTGTGCTTCTAGCAGCGACACATACACATGTAGACAATAACAACAAAATCCAATCCAACAACAAGAATTAAAAATACACTCTTTTTATATAAACAAGCTAAAATCAGTGCAAACAGGTCCATGGTCAAATTTACCATTCATTAAATAGAGAAACATTAAATAGCAAGCAAACAAGTACATACCAAGTAAATGTACACCGCAAGTAAAACAACAGTAGGAAATATAAGAAATCGCATTCTATTGCGTTGCTAAAGCTTGAAATGTCAAATGAAACATCATTCCCCTACTAGTGTCTGTGTTTCTCTAAAGGATAAACTACATTATGTTACTGGAGTGCAGAAGATTTGTGTCATGGACTGAAAGTGCAAACATCAAGGCAAAGTGTAATCAAATTACATACTGTATATATGAGGCCTGCAACCCTATCATAATATTTTTCAGATTGTAGCTACTGATGAACAAGTCATCTTTCTTTAGACAACCTTGCATGCTTATTGTGCTTCTAGCAGCGACACATACACATGTAGACAATAACAACAAAATCCAATCCAACAATCTGAAGCAATGCATTTATATCAACATTCGAACGAATACCAGAAATCAATCCAGTTTACTGAATTTTGTACCAAAAATAGACACTTCCCTGCTTTCCTTTTCTCCCTATGACCAATTATTCTTGAAATGTACAAATAGAAAGATAAGTTAATTGATCTTTTTTTGGGTTAGACATGCAAATTGATACTGAAAAAGTCAAGATATTTGATACGTTATGCTTAGAGTGCAACTATGAGGGACGGTAAACTCTTAAGATGTTGTTTAAAAATAAAAGAAGTGCTGCAAATTGTAACCACATATTAGAAAAGGACCACTTCAGAGGGCAAGGTCAAATCCGAAACTCTCAAATTAACCTTTTTGACCCCTCTTTAGGCCCCGAGCAGCTTCTTGACCAGATAGCCTGGCATGCTGTAGAGAAACAGGCCCACCATGATCAGCAGCAGCAGAGCCAAGACGATCTTGATGATGAGCCATTTGTAGCGGTTGCATATCAGGTAGCGGATGGCCTTCAG